ATTATAAGGGAAAGATCAACTCTGATTTCAAATACAGACAAAAAGAAACAAAGATCACGTAGTAAGAGAAGGGATAATGATACAAAAGCTGAATTCCTGCAGAAACTGTAGTGAGTCAATAAGAAAAAAGTTTCTGAAATGAGAAAAGCATCTTCAAAATTTAAGCTTTTGAATTGATAAACATAGCCATGCTTGGGTGTTGAGAGATCGACCAGTTTGAATCCCAAACGGATTCATTTTTAGTTCATTCTAAGGGTGTTCCAAGACATCCTTAAGCGATAAACATACGGGATACAACCATTTTCAACAAGCTTAGAAGAGCCAATATATTAAATATTTCAAAGAGAGGATACCATCAATGATATTTTGTTATCTAAGAAACAATCGATCAGCTGTTAGGATGTCTTTGCTAAAAAATATTGAAATGAACTAAACCAGTTTGGGTGCAGAACTTACAATGATTGTTTTTCAAATATGATTGCAGGACTGGCTAACTACAAGAAAAACAGGTGATAGCGGGAAAAGGAAAAAGCAGGATAAATCAACAGTAAGATAGAAGATGTTTGGCTTTGAAGTTTGGAAGGAGCTTAAATTCAGTGAAATGAATATTCTTTCAGAAGTTCAATAAACCAAAAATTTCTGTAGATTCACTGAGATCAATCACCACATCTTTATGTACCGTCTACTGTTTAGAACTCAGCTTACCATTGAGGCCAAAAAATAACTGTTATATAACACACACGCCAAAGGTTAGGAAGGGTTATTATTTATGAGGCACTTATCTCAATTTTATCTTTGAATATAAGGCATCTCACCATTAACAATATTCTCTAGTATATACTTTTTCTGTCATTGATCTTATAAGGCTCAAGCAATCTTGATAACAAATAATCACTCAAAACATATGTGCAAGCCTACCTACTTAGGTATCTAGCATTTCGTAGAGCGTCTATGGGAACTTGGTCCAATGACTTGCCCACCACAGCACATATTCCGAAACCAAACAATCGAACAGTTTTTGAAGTCTAAATCACACATGAATCATATGAAAACACTGAAACAGTCAGAAAATCACCAGACAAAAGAAAAATCCCCAACTGCCAAACCTCAGACAATGCGGCCCCGTACTCCTCGGAGCCGGCTGGTACGCCGTGCAGCGAATACTTGTAATCAACCACGCACGAGGTAATCTGCGGAAACTCGAAACAAAAGAGTGGAAAAGGAACAATCAATCGGCAACTAAATAAACAATAGGGAGAGTGTGTGTATGCGTGGTATGTGTGCATACTCACGGAGAACACGGCGCGGGAGGATCGGACAACGCCATTTAGGAAGCTGGAGGGTAGATCGAGCGTCTCGGCGGAGTTGGAGGGATCGGAAGCGAGGACGGCGAGGCCAGTGGCGGTGAGCAAATAGACTGAGGTTTTGGCGCTAAGCTTGAAAGCTCCATATCTGCTCATCTCAGCTGGTAACCAAGAAGAGAGATTTGCGGCTGAGAATCAAAAAGAGAAGGGAAAAGAACAAAGTGGAAACTAGTCGTCATTCATGGTCAACGGCGTTTTTGAGAAACTTCGGCATTTGTTTTTGAGTTACACGACTCTTCATAGTTGTTAATGTGGTTATTAGAGTAAATTACAATTTTAGTCATATATGTTGCACTGCGTTTTTAATTTTCGCCCCGTATGTTTGCAAAATGATTACAAATATATCATTTTCATACATAAATGATGAAATTGGAACCTTTTTTTGCAAAACATAAAAGACTTTTTTATTGCGAAAATGATCTTTTTGTAACCTTTTTGCAAACATACAGGACAAAAATAAAAAACGCAATTCAAAGAGGACGAAAAAGTTAAGGCAGTGAAATATACAGAACTAAAATTGCATTTTACTCAGATTATTATTAGGCATACTTATATATTCATGCTTTTTCAACAATTATACATATTTTTAAACTAAAATATCATTTAGAGAAAGGTACAATTTTACGATATAAACATGCATTTGTGTTACAAAATGTATAATGGGTCGACTTGCCGAGTGATCGGACCTCATCATAAAAAAAAAATACAAAAGATGAGTCACCTATTAATTCAAGAATTGATGATTTATTTTTTATTAATATAGGATTCCAAAGATTTAAATCTATCTAAGATTCTAATTTCTATCAATACAACAACTATCAATTCGACTTGAAAGATAAAATATATTGATTCAAACCAATAAATATAAAATTGTTAATTTAAGACCTTAAATATTAAATCATACTTTTCTTATAAGGCAATGTCATGACCATTAGTAAGATGATAAAAAATATCTAAATACAGATGAAAACTAATACTAAAAGAGATGGAGAAATATTATGATCTAGTTTCTATTTTCGTACGTTACAAGGGCAGACATTTATAAATTTTTCATCTTTTTAGAGACATTTATAGATTTTTCATTTTTTTTCTAAAAGAATATTTCATATTTATAAATTTTTGTCTCAATTGATGAGGTAACTACGGTTAACATGATGGAATCTTATCAAATTTAAATTTTGTATAAATTATGACGCAAATTATGATAGAAGGTAGTTTTACAATTAACTTTTTTTTATTTAGTTATAGATGACGAAAGAGGTAAGTCTTTATTTTCCTGTGTGTAATTTAATTTGCAAAAAAACAAAAAAAACAAAAAAAAAAAGAAAGAAAAAGGGTTCGTAATGATTTAATAAGATCTAATTACTCTATATGTTACATTATTAAGTAACATAGATGTATCATATTGGCACCAGGTTTTAACCAGGAAGGCACTGAACGTGCGATGCACCTTCTTTCTATGTGTCAATCACTTTCATTTAAATTAAACAAAATACATTGGGTTAGACGACAAGCGGAACATCGATTTCATACAGCCGACAATTCAAGAGAAAAGTAATCGATTTAATTTAGGACAACGAGTTAGGTTGCAAGTTGCCTGAAGTTAGATTTTTCAACAGTTTTTAAGAGCGTTTATAGAATTTTTTTGTTTTATTTTGATTGTTCGTTTTGTTTTGTTAATTTTGCAAAAGGTAGTATGATTAGTAATTAGTGGGTATATTAAAATAATATTTAAATTAAATAATGTAAAAGTAGGAGATAAATTATTTGAATTGATGGTTGGTTAAAATAATGTGAGTGGATGAATAATAAAGTAAAGTTGATGTGGTGTGTATGAATGATTCTATCGAGAGTTCGTTTATTTGCTAAATTTGTATTTATTTGCGTTATCGGTTCTACGCTACCTTAGTGTAAACTTTCCTCTAGATTCAACTTAGTTAGCTACTTATTTTTAGTTGTTTTTTATTATGTTATTACACTGTTTAATTATACAAGTCTACCATTTCGAAAAGAAGAAGAACTCTAAATGTTAAAAATATTGGAATAATATGCGGATTGAAGGGATTTGATATTTAATTTGCTTGCTTTAATTGGTTGAAAACAAAAAACTCTCAATTTAATAATATTAGATTAATATGTGTATTAGATATTAAATTGGTTTACTTTAATCGGCTAATTAATTCATACGTGCTGAAATATAAAGAGACAATACACTTACATACATCAAATAATGTACATGCAAATCTTATAGCTGAAGCGCGAATATACTTCTTAGGTCATATCCAACCCTTGTCTCTACTCTAGTGCGGACTTTACTCTACTCTAGAGTATAGTTGATCATTTATCTCTAGTCCTTATCTCTACATTTTACTCTACATCAAATATATTATTTTTTTATTCATTTTTTATTACAAATAAATTGGTATATATGTATTTTTAATCTTATATAAAATGTTAATTACTCAAATAATAAAAATATTTTTTTATGTTGTTTTTATTTGTCTATTTTATGATTTACGTCTGTTGTAAACTTTTAATTTTAGTGAAATATACTTGTTGGAATGTGTTAATTTTTATTCATACGGTACCATTTTAATATTAAAAAAATACAAAATGAAATTATAATACATCAATAAATAAAAAATACAAAATTATTTAGCATAGAAAATACATTGCACAAAGTTATGTAACATAAAAATATATTTATTGATACACATTATACAAAAATTTATCATTAATGAAATTTATTTTTATTGTGGTAAATTTTTATTAATATGTACTATTTTAATGATAAAACAAATTGTAAAATAAAATTATAATACATAGTAAATAAAAAGCACAAAATTATTTAACATCATAAATACATTTACTAATACACATGGTATAAAAAGATTTACCAACAATATTACATCAAAAAACATAAAAAATTACATTAAAATACATAAAAAAAATGTAGCGATAGCTACAGTATTGCGCCAGTTCTGGCGCAATACTATTCACTCCTCTACCATAGCGCAAGTATTTAGCGATGGGTTGGAGAAGTGATTTACTTCACTCTGACACAAATACACAGATTTGGCGCTGGGTTGGAGCTGGTCTTAATGTCTCCGCCCCTGGCTAAAATGATGACATGTAATCTTATTTTTAATCAACATATATAACATATTTAATTTATAAATATAAATTTTAATATTATTTATCGTACATCCAACTAAATATGTATATACAGTAGAAAAAAAATGATAAATTAAAAAATATCAAAAAATAAAATTAATGTCAAATGGGGGCAAAATAAGTGTGGTCCCACACAGGTGAAGCGCACCTTCAGAGCCAAAATGAAGCCCAAGTGAGATTCCATCCCAAAACCAATTGCTGATGGAAAGAGTAGCCCACTAAATTTATAAACTAGGCTCATTTACCCTATCAAATCAATGTGGGACAACTCACAAGTAATATTTCAACAATTAAGATTGTGTTATCAACCAAAATTTGTCTATATAATAAAATAAAGTTACTACTTACTAGACAGCACAATGTAACCAATTCCTTTCCCATGCCAAAAGTAAGAACCAGCAAAGACTCATCAAGTCTCACATAAATTTTGAACCATTATGTTCTCTATCTTTGAACAAATAATTAATTTCCACAAACTAGAAAACTTCAACGCGTGTTATAGCTTTAGGAACGCATAGTTTGACTTGTACAAAAGCCTCGGTGGGTCCCTCACTCCACAATTGCGCCAATCAGTAAATGCCACATGTTCCTTTCTTACAATGTGATTTTAGAAGTCCCAAATTGTATAAGCGCCAAATTCCACTTTCCAAGCCCTATATATAACTCAACAAAACACCTTGCCCAAACATCATCAATTCATTCAATACTTCTCATAATAGTAATAATAATAATAAAAAAAAAAAAAACTTCTCACTTCAAAAAGCTTCTTCATCAAAAAAATGGTTCTGTCCAAAATCGCTTCGCAGTCCGATGTCTCGGTGCACTCGACTTTCGCATCGCGTTACGTTCGTGATTCCCTCCCTAGGTAACTGATATTCGATTTCTTTATCAAATCGAAAAAATAGCGTTATGCTCGATTTCTTTATTTTAATTTGTACTAGCTTTTTATCGAGCATTATTATAATTAATTGATGTTTTGTAGGTTTAAGATCCCGGAAAACTCGATACCGAAAGAGGCGGCTTACCAAATCATAAACGACGAGCTTATGCTCGACGGGAATCCGAGGCTGAATTTAGCGTCATTCGTGACCACGTGGATGGAACCCGAGTGCGATAAGCTCATTATGTCCTCTATTAACAAGAACTATGTGGACATGGATGAGTACCCTGTCACAACTGAGTTGCAGGCAAGTTATTATAATTAATTTATTATGATCTACATAAAATAATTTTTGTTGAGATTATTTGTTTTTTTTTTTTGAGGAGATTGGTGCGTTGAAAATGATTTAATCTTGAATAATTAATTTAGGTGAAAACGCGTGACTTATAACGCGTTTTATGAAACGAATTGGGTTTGTTATTGAGGTCAAGATTTTTTAATCTATAGATTACAGATCTAAGTACTATTATGAGATTGACTTTATTGATTGTTTTGTACAAAGCTTATTAGTTTGTAATAGAACAAGTTGCGTTATGGTTTATCTTATCTGGTCTTAAATATTAATTTCCACACTCTTGTGTGACTTGTGAGGACAGAGCGTATAGGTGAGTGGACTTGTCGTGCTATGTAAATAAAAATACATAAATATATCATCGAATGTCGTATTTATATTTATGTTATTTATTAAAATATAATATTTTTAGTAAAATAAGTGTTTATAAAAAAAATGCCAATTTAATAATTAGGTCAACTTAACATAAGATTTATGGAATATTTTAAGCCGTAGAAAACACGATTTCCTTTTTCTTATTATTATCATTATCATCTTATTCTTTATCATCTTTTTGGCGGGCACTTCGCTATTAATTATTATAACACGGCCAATAAATCAATGGCTTTTGTCTTTTCTTAACTTTTTTCAGTTTTCTTTGTTCTTTTCATAATGTTTAATAACGCGATATTCAAAGTGAAGAACAGATGGAAACCACGTTTTCACGTCCCGAATATATTAGAGCACTGTTTGAATAATTAGGCACCTTCTTTTTTCAACTCGTTTTCACATCCCGAAGACATTAGAACACTGTTTGAATAATTAGGCACTTCCTTTTTTCAACTTTTCAATTAAATAAAAAAAGAACCAGTCATTATTGGGTTACCTATCATATTAACTGATTAATAATACTTGAAAAAAAATGTAAAATACTTAACATGATATAAATGTAAAAATTGAAACATGAAAAAAAATCACCTGTCGCGTTTTTGTTCCTTTGTAATCAAGCAAAACGAAGAATGGAATCAATTCCATTTTCAGAAAAATATTATAAAGGTAAAAGTTATACCTTTTTTTTCATATATATATAACTGTTTCTTCTTTTATCAAAACAAAGCCATATTAGTATTACAACCATTTATATTCTTTTTAGGAAATTACATATGGATTTGTAAGTTAGGAATCCCACATAGTTACTGGCACATATAAATATAAGAAACATAATATTATGATAGTGATTTAACATTAGAATGAATAATATGTGAAAATATCTATATTTAATTGTTCATCTAGTCCAGGTCCGTCGCGTGAATAAATAATTTAATTGGATGGTCTTGAACGTATATTTATTGTGTTACCTAACTTGAACAAGTCTGTGGGGGTGGTCCATAACTGTAACTTTCTCAATAAACAATTAGGAGGTGGGGTAATGATATTGGCTCTTGTTCTCCACAAAAAAACTTAAAAATATCTCCACAATATATTTATTTATTTTTGTCATATATTTTGTTTGTATCAGTGTGGACAAAAACGTTGCTATAAGTTGTTAGTCCATTTATCATAATTTAAAATTTAAGTTGACATTGGCAATTGAATTGAAGACTTTAGAATGATTTCAATTATTTCTATTGAGATTGAAATTACAAATTAGTAGAAAGTAACTAAAGATGAATTTGATTGACTTTTCATGACCCCTTAACTCATCGTGATTCACTACAAAAATCGGGAGTTTTACTAACTGTTAGCAATCAGGTTTCTCAACGAAATTTATTGTGATTAATTAGTTACTAATAACATGATTTTCCTAACCTAACGGTCAACATTTTGACTAAACCAGAACCGTTGCGTGAACATGATCGCGCACCTCTTCAACGCGCCCCTCGGTGAGAGCGAGGCTGCAGTCGGTGTCGGGACTGTGGGATCGTCGGAGGCCATAATGTTGGCGGGCCTCGCCTTCAAGAGGAAGTGGCAAAACAAGATGAAGGCCCTAGGGAAACCCCACGACAAGCCCAACATCGTGACTGGGGCCAATGTCCAGGTCTGCTGGGAGAAGTTCGCCCGCTACTTTGAAGTCGAGCTCAAGGAAGTGAAGCTCAGGGACGGGTACTATGTGATGGACCCGGAGAAGGCGGTCGAGATGGTTGACGAGAACACAATTTGTGTTGCCGCCATTCTCGGGTCCACACTCAACGGCGAGTTTGAGGATGTCAAGCGCCTCAACGACCTCTTGGTCGAGAAGAACAAGGAAACAGGGTACGGACACAAATTTTAACTTGATAGTACTAAAGTTAATACGATTGAATTGTCTGGTAATATAAGTATCCATTTTGATTTAAAAAAATAAAAATTAGTATCACTGTTCGACCTGCCTATATATAGTATTGTTAGATTTTTTTCGATTTGGATTCAATTATTGATCATGTGATGAACATATAAATATGTAGGTGGGACACACCAATTCATGTGGATGCAGCTAGTGGTGGATTTATTGCCCCATTTTTGTACCCCGAATTAGAATGGGACTTTAGGTTGCCATTGGTAAAGAGCATCAATGTGAGTGGGCACAAGTATGGGCTTGTCTATGCTGGTATTGGGTGGGTCATTTGGAGGAGCAAAGAGGATTTGCCCGAAGAATTGATCTTCCACATTAACTATCTTGGTGCGGATCAGCCCACATTCACACTCAATTTCTCCAAAGGTACTATTCCCTTTGCGCAATGTACAACCACAAACCCTTGATTATTACCATTGTCTACAACTTCTAACAACAAGTTGATAAATGATATCTTTTTGCAGGCTCTAGTCAAGTCATTGCTCAATACTATCAACTCATCCGCTTAGGCCACGAGGTAATTGAATTAAAAAAAAAATTACACGAACATTAATTTCTTCGATATTGTATCGTTTATCAAATTCAGTCAACTGAGCTAGCGTGTCGAATAATATGTAGGGTTATCGCAACATCATGGAGAATTGCCAAGAAAACGCGATGGTCCTAAAGAAGGGTCTCGAGAAGTCGGGGAGGTTCAACATCGTGTCGAAGGACGATGGGGTCCCACTCGTGGCCTTTAGCCTCAAGGACAACACGCGCCACAACGAGTTCGAGATATCAGACATGCTCCGGAGGTTCGGGTGGATCGTGCCTGCGTACACGATGCCCCCTGACGCGGAGCACATCACGGTGTTGAGGGTCGTGATAAGAGAAGATTTCTCGAGGACACTGGCAGAGAGGCTCGTGATGGACATCGAGAAGGTGATGCACGAGCTCGACTCGATGCCGTCGAGGGTGGCGGAGGAGGTGGAGGGTGGTGGCCGGCCGCCGATCCCGAAGAAGACAGGGGTCGAGGTGCAGAGGGAGGTTATGGCGACGTGGATCAAGTTCGTGGCCGATAGGAAGAAGACCAATGGGGTGTGCTAGGGTTTTTTCTTTGGGGGAGTGATTTGAGAAGGGTGAATTTGGTTTTATGTGACTATATTGAGAGTATTGTTTGTTACTACTTTCAAGTTGTGTTGTTGATCTTTTAAGTTTGAGGCATATGCTTTGCTTGCTTGTTATGGCTAAATGAGACCGGTTGATGGGCTTGTTGTTGTACTACTATTTCTGATTTGTGCAATGCTGAGTTTTTATTTGTCTAATTTAAATATTTTATACTTTTAAATTCGTGTTCCATTTTTTATATTTCAATTTTTATAAATGNCATGAAAGTGATAGTGAGGTTATCAAATATACATACCATTTATCCAATAAAATGACATAAACATTCCAAATAAACTTTTAGAATAGAAAATCTTATTCCGGGATGTAAGGGCTTGACCAAAATTATTATTAACATATACATATATATATGTATGAAGTGCAAATGATATGTCCCTTGAATTTTCAAGAATAATACATACTAGTACCCGTGTACTACATGCATTTATATTTAAATTTAAATAATAAAAACAACAAAAATTGTTTTAATTTTTTAATACTTTTTGAAAAGATATATTATTATTTATAGTTAAAATGACACCGTCAACTACACGACTTACCGTCTTAAATTATAATTTTTTTAATATATATGAGATAACTACTTTGTAGTTAAGCTAGTTTAAATAATTTTATTTTTTTTAAATTAATATTAATAGCTAATTTAATTTTAATTATATAGAAAAATAAAAATATTTATGTATTTTTTATGTATGATATTGATGTCAAATTGAAACTTATCAAGACATAATTAATTTGATATATTATATATAAAGTTTGTTAGAGAAAAAAATATTAACTTTTAAAAGTATTTATAATTTAAGTTAGTAAATTTGTTATAATTTTAAAGGAAAGATAGGAAAAAAATGGTATCTTATAAATCACGTCTACAATAGGAAATAACCTAATTAATGCGTTTAAAAGGGAACATAAATATCCACTATATTTATGAATATTCTAAGTCTAGTTACTTTTGGATTGAAAATAAATTAAAATTCATCCAAACCAAACAACAAACCTTAAAAATTTGCCACATAAGATCTCGAAGAGTGTGAGTCTGACACTTAGGCTCAGACATTCCGAAATTATACAGGGGAGATTAGATTGTTTTACAAATAATAGGTGTATTACCAAACAAAATCTACTATATATGCATGCATAACAAAGAAATCACTTTCAAGTTTCAAAAGAAAACTACAACACTCTAAATTGTTAGAGCATGTTTGTTTATAGAAATGTTTGGTTTGTTCGGATTTTTTGATTTGGTTTGGTTAATTTTGAAAAAGGTGGTATGATCAGTTGATAGTGGGTATATTAAAATAAAATAATTAAAATTAATTTGATATAAAAGTAAGAGATAGATGATTTGAAGTGATGGTTAGTTAAAATAAAGTGGGTGGATGAATAATGAATTAAAATTGATGTGGTGTGTATGAATAATTGATAGATATTATTTAATTATATTAATAATATTGATGATAGTGAAATTTATTAACATTGAATTAAAAAGAATAATTGAGTTAAAATATTTAATTTTTTCTTTTAAAATTTCTATAAACAAACATGCTCTAAAGCCTCCAATAATTCATTAATTTCATTGTGAAAAGATTAAAAAATAAAAAAAAATCCCCATATATATAAATAAAGCATCATGTAACTATTACAAGTCAAAAAGGTAGTCGAAATAGAAAGCACCACTTTCATTATCAAAAGCCTTTGCACACTATAATCCCTTTAGACAGAGATATTTTGAGACGTACATAATACAATGCATCGATTTTTTTTCGGGAAAAAAAAAAGAAGAAAAGTTGTGGACATAAAAAAAAAAAAAAAAAAGGGAGTGGAAAAGAATAGAAAGGCC